AAGCTGGAAATGTGGAGTTTTATTCCGCCACTACCAAGGAAACTCCTGCCGATCGGGCCTTTGCCCAACGCCTTCTCGTAGAGTTTCGCCTGCCCTGACTACTGCTGGAACTGTTTGGTTATCTGGCTTCGTCCTAATGTGTGGCTGCTTCCTTTGAATAAAGTCCCTTTCAATCAACTGCTCAGCTTTCTACCGGTCCATCGTTTGTTCTCTTACTCTATTCAGCTTACAAGATCATAGGTCGCTTTGCTCAATACGCCCGGGTTTGACTTATATTTTATGCTCGCCACTCTTCCCTGGGGTTATCATCAGCACATTCAGGTGCTCCGGATTTTATGCATTTGAGCGCACACGAGTTTTTGCGTTCTCAGCATTTTCGAGTTTCCCAAAATAACTCGTATTCTTAACAAAATATTTACAGTTCGAACATTTACTTCGCCTTATCATTTAGCTGAATATCGTTCATTATATGGTCAGCATTTATGTGAATATGTTTGTTTTCGTTTTACGTTGATAAGCGCGTTTTGTTAAACGTGGCATTAGTAAGCTGACGGTAGCACTTAACTTGAGAATCGTGCTTATTACTAAAGAGAGGTCAAATCTGACATGTAAGGACATAGAACAGGATTAAGTGAAGCAGGTATGCATGACGTGTGCACACGGCCGATATTCTAGCTCATCATTGGTTATGCTTTAACCTTCGGTTAACCTCCAGGGCAATGTTATGCCACAATCGGTACGTGAGATGTCAGCATAAATTGCAGTCTAAAAGGTGCAGGTAATCATTCTGAGATTGACTAAAACAAGTACCGGAGGCTACATCCTGATGCGCCCTTGCAAGTTAACTGTCTGCATGACAATCTCCATCCTGACGTTACTAGGCATCGTCTGTTTAGTGAACATCAGTTACTTCACAAGACAATTTCTACTGACGACTCTCAAATATATAGACATGTGGCGTTTTTCGACAATAAACTCAGCTTGTCCCCTGGTGGCTTCTTACCTGGCAGAGGATGGATCCTTCGATCTGAGTTTGCGTTACTGTGTCGACCGGTCCCTACCGGCCACCAGATGCGCCAAAATTCCCCTGAATCTAATCAGCAAAAAGGGTGGAGACCGTAATGTCAGCTTTGCGGAAATGGCTGAAGTCGACGACGACGACTGGAAAATTCCAATTAAACCGGACGCATATAATATGTATCCACAGGGTCTTTCATTGCCCGATGTCATCCAGAAATACAAGGAAACTGGCTTTGTTCCTGAGGTAAGTGCTTATTAATTGGCACCTAGGGTGCAACTTATGGACGAAAAGATGTGTTCGAAGTTGAATTAATTCGAAGAAGTAACACGCTACGGTCGATGGCATATCTAACTGTAAACATTCATTTTCACTCATCTGAAAGTTATTAAACAAGTCTAATATCACTTAAAACGAATTCACCCCTAAGTCATGGTCCCTGAACCGCCTTAGTGTGGAACACGCAGCAGACCTCGTTATGATCTACGTCGAACAATATGGGCGATATATATTCAATAATTTGACATTCTCCCGTTAACATGTGTGTTTGGAATGCTGGACTAGTGAGATTTGCGGCAACTCTTATCGCAAATTATGAAAGTATTATGTGCAAGTCTCATGTTATCAGAAGAGGAAAGTTCACAAACTTACCACGGTTTATTCGATGATAGACATCCTGCGGCTTTTTAAGTAAATACTTAAAGTATTTTGGGGAACTGTAGGGCGAAGATTTCAGCATTTCATTGCGAATAAATACATCCGATCCCTAAATGCTTCCTTTTGCTTTCTCATTTACAGATTCCAATAAACAACCCCACCTTAAAGATACTCAACGCCAGCTCCTCGGTGTGCCCACCTGAAGGACAAAACGGAGGTAAA